GTGTTCAACTCATGCAGTATACAAAATAACTCAAAAGCCAAACTACAGTAACACTTATCAGCAAAACTCTTACCAAGTCCTGATTCCTGACAGTACGTTTTCTCTCAGATTCTAACATAACACGAAGACTTTTAGCTCTGTCATCCAGAATTTCATTAGATTTTTCAAGTGTCTTGATTTTGTCCTACAAAAAAAAGATATTAAGATTAGTAATAACTACTCATTACTTTTACTTTTGTTTCCAGAATTTAATCCCAAGAAGGGAATTTTACCTTATATTTAATTGCTTCATCACGAAGAATCATATTTTGTTTCTTGGTTTCTTGAATATATTTCTTTGATTCCTTGATCTATATAAAATAAAGCATTCAGAATTCAAAAATAGAAATTATAGTCCTACCAAAACTTTTTTCCAAATAAGCGACCTCTTACAGAAGGAAGCAGTGCTTTACACATATGATGACTGCTTAAGATCTGAATGGTTGGTAGGAAATAATAAGAAAATATGATTTAACAATACTATAATAACTAAATTTATAGTAACTATAAAACAGATGGAAATAATTCAAGCGGGAACAATGGGGAATAAAACTAAAAAAATCATTATACCTTATGTTCATAATCTGACAACTTTTGTACAAGTTCTTTATTTTCTCTTCTGATGTTTTTCACCTTGTCAGAAATTTGCTGTTCAGTGACTAAAAAGGGGGCAAAAATCAATAAGTCACAAAATAAAATTGTTACCCAATGTATTAGCAGCAAAGACATGTTATTTGGCACTACGAGGAAAAAGAACTTCTTTTCAAAACTTTTATGCAATCTGTAGTTAAAAGCAATAAGGATATAAAAATATTATTAAAATTTAAGAAAAATATTCTTATAATAGAATCCTTACTTAAATGAGATTCTAGTTTAAATATATTTCAAAAATGGGAAATATACTAAAACGTTATANTATTTCTTCGATTCCTTGATCTATATAAAATAAAGCATTCAGAATAAAAAAATATAAATTATAGTTCTACCAAAACTTATTTCCAAATAAGCAAGCCCTTACAGAAGGAAGCAGTGCTTTACACATATGATGACTGCTTAGATATGAATGGTTGGTAGGAAATAATAAGAAAATATGATTTAACAATACTATAATAACTAAATTTATAGTAACTATAAAACAGGTGGAAATAATTCAAGCGGGAACAATGGGGAACAAAACTAAAAATATTATACCTTCTGTTCATAATCTGACAACTTCTGTACAAGTTCTTGATTTTCTCTTGAGATGTTTTTCACCTTGTCAGAAATTTGCTGTTCAGTGACTAAAAAGGGGGCAAAAATCAATAAGTCACTCAATAAAATTGTTACCCAATGTATTAGCAGCAAAGACATGTTATTTGGCACTATGGGGAAAAGAACTTCTTTTCAAAACTTTTATGACTTTTTACACAGCCGTCTGTACTTAACAGCAATAGGGATATAAAAATATTAAAATTTAAGAAAAATATTCTTATAATAGAATCCTTATTTAAATGAGATTCTAGTTTAAATTTATTTCAAAAAATGGGAAATATAGTGAAACGTTATAGCTTGACGTTCCTCTCTGCGTGAAGCACATTTCTTCTCAGAAAATGGGATCCCTTCAAATACATGTCATTTACAAAGAGAAACAGAAAGAAAATGCAAAGATATTGATTTATATTTCTATTCCTCAAATTATCTAGTTTAATAAGTGTTTCATGTATTGGTTAAATCATTAGCACAGGAACGTTGTTCACCTGTAATAAATCTGCATTGCATCAACATTTAAAGTCAGGCTGCCCCAAATTAAACTAATCATCTTCTCTCTACTCTCACAATTTATTCTTCCTCATCTCCTATCCGTTGGGTTCACCACCATCTACTCCATCATCCAACCTAGCAACCCAGGAAAACGAAAACTTTGGAGAGCTAAGAAGTCAGTCAGACATAAGAAGTCATTATATCTACTTCTAGCTTCTATAAAACTCATAACAAACACCAATACAGAGGAAACAGTACAAAAGACAAAATAAGTCTAAAATTTTACCTTGATAAACTCTACTCTTTACCTAGAAGAGAGAAATAAAATTAAATTTGATGTTAAACATTTTATTAATAAAAATATATAGTTCGTAATATAACGGTGAAAAATCATAACCAAGTGAGAGTTCAATAATGGTTTGACTCAGCGTAATGAATTCACAGGATTAAAAAAAGAAGAGGTTAGAAAGAATTTCAAATTTAATTGGTGGCATTGCTTCATAAATAGTCTCGATAGACAAAAGCACTAAGGTAAATATACCTTGCAGCTAAAGATATGTTTTTATGTCTATTAAATGAGCAACAATCTTACCAAATGAACACAACTTTAACAACAGAAATGGCTAATATTTCATAATATACTAATGCTTATTTACCTAAAATCACCTATTTAATAGCCCAAAATAGCCAAAACGAGGTCTAGAAACAATGATTGTTCCAAAAGACTCTGATGAAACAAAATTAAAGGCATAATCTTCGTACTAAGATATGCCTCTTTCAGTCACCAGAAAACATCTTTGAAATCTTATTCAAAGTTGGCTATTGGCTGAGTTTAGAAATATTTCTGGGCTTGTGGTCCCTTTCAGTCAGGTTTGCGTCTTTAAAAAATATGACCTAAAAATATTACCAGAGCTTCAAAAAGAGCTCTGGTCATCCTGGCTAAGGGAGCAGAGGAAATGGAGACAGTCATCCCTTTAGATGTCATGAGACGAGTTGGGATTAAGGTCACCATTGCAGGTCTGGCTGGAAAAGACCCAGTACAGTGTAGCTGTGATGTTGTCATTTGTCCTGATGCCAGTCTTGAAGATGCAAAAAAACAGGGACCATATAATGTGGTGGTTCTCCAGGAGGTAATCTGGGTGCACAGAATTTATCTGAGTCTGCTGCTGTGAAAGAGACACTGAAGGAACAAGAAAACAGGAAGGGCCTCAGAGCTGCCATCTGTGCAGGTCCTACTGCTCTGTTGGCTCATGAAATAGGTTTTGAAAGCAAAGTTACAACACACCCACTTGCTAAAAACAAAATGATAAATGGAAATCATCACAGCCATTCAGAATCATGTGGAAAAGGACGGCCTGATTCTTACAAGCCGAGGTCCTGGGACCTGCTTTGAGTTTGTTCTTGCTATTGTCGAGGTGCTGAGCAGCAAGGAGGTGGCTGATCAAGTGAAGGCTCCACTTGTTCTTAAAGATTAGAGCAAAAGAAGTTGATGGTGAGTTAGAGAAATAGGCCTTATAATCCATTCTCACTGTGTTCACTTCAAACAAAAAATGACTGGTTAATGTGCCGAGAAGCTGTCATTACTGCTTTTGTGAAGTGTAGTTGTGAAGTAACAACTCCACAGAGATTTCTCAGCCTACAAATTGTGTCTGTACATTTCTGAACCTTGTTGGCCAAATAAACAGGGCATTTAGAAAAAAAAAAAAAAAAGAAGAAATACTTCTCATGAGTTAGATCGTGTAATTTTTCCCAGGTCACTAAAAACAGTGATCATACATCTGAAAGGGAAGGGAAGACTGCTAGAGCAAAATGCACAAGAGACAAGAGAAATAACAGCTAACATCTTTCTAAAAGGGCAAAAACTAAATCATCCCCTGAAAACAACTCTAAATTTACAGTATAATAAAATCTAAGCCGTAACTAATTAAAAAAAAAAAAAAAACACTACATTTCTTTGGAACCCCAAATACATTTCCCCTTTCAAATGTTATAAATGGTAATGGGATTTTCAGACCAGTCCACAAAATCATCCATGGTATCTCATTATTAGTACAGTACCTAAACACCACTTACAATAATGCTGTTCTAGGAAAATGCATTCAGAAAATTCCAATGTGGAAAGAAATGACTATTTCTTTACTGTCACAGCCTAGCGAATGAGAGAGTAAGCTTCCTTTAATTTTCCCAGGCCACTAAAAACAGTAATCATACATCTGAAAGGGAAGGGAAGAGAAGACTGCTGGAGCAAAATGCAGAAGAGACAAAAGAAATAACAGCGAACATCTTTCTAAAAGGGCAAAAACTAAATCACCCTCTAAAGACAGCTCTACATTTACAGGATAATAAAATCTAAGCAGTACCTAATTAAAAAAAA